TTCCCCAAGAAAATCAAGCTCAACCGCCTTACCCTGAACCCTGAACCCTAAACCCAAAACCCTGCCAGGTACATCCTTTCCGATGCCAGCTTGCTGCCGGAGATCCCATCCGTAGGTCTTAGGGCTTGCCGAAATTTCCCTTGACTTCGGGGCCCACTTCTCTGAAACCCCGAAGCCCTGAAACCCTGAACACAAGACTTACGCTAAGCCGCCAGCAATCCCGATCGTTTTGCCCTTGTTCGAAATAGGCTTCTGGGTTTAGGGTTTCGGGTTTCGGGGTTTAGGTTCAAAAGGGTTTCGGGCTTCGGGCTTCGGGCTTAGGGTTTAGGGTTTAGGGTCGACTGCCCCTCAAGCCTTCGAAGCCCATATCATCCCAAGGAGCTCTGGTGTTCTTGGCCCACAAGCCCACGCCCCTGACATCCTGTAAACCCTCAGGACCCCTAAAACCTTACCCAGGCCCTACTCTGGCCGTACTGTATGTAGAAATCTCGGTATAGAAATCTCGGATTCTTGGGGCAACCTACTAGAAAGTAGGCTCCTAAACCCTAAACCCTAAACCCTAAACCCTAAACCCTAAACCCTAAACCCTAAACCCTAAACCCTAAACCCTAAACGCAAGACCCCAGAGCTCGTAGCAGGAGAGCTCGGCGCAAGCGATGGGGCTTCCGGCAGAAGCGTGCAGCTTGGCCCACCTAGACACCCTAAGCCCTAAGCCCTAAGCCCTAAACCCTAAGCCCTAAACCCTAAACCCTGAGCCCTAAGCCCTAAACCCCTAAACCCTAAACCCTGAACACTCAACCGTCAACCCTGAACCCTGGTTGGGTGCTGGTTCACCCAAACTTACCACCTGGGTCCTCTCCCGCATCTGCAAGTGTGAGAGTCGGCAACCCCTTCACCATAAACCCTCTTGTTTAGGGTGTAGGGTTTAGGGTTAGGGTTTAGGGTTTAGGGTTTAGGGTTTAGGGTTTAGGGTTTAGGGTTTAGGGTTTAGGGTTTAGGGTTTAGGGTTTAGGGTTTAGGGTGGCTCCTCCCCTGGTAGCCCAGTGGTACCCTTCTCCTTTCTCTTGGTTCAAGGTTTCCTTATCAATAGCCACAGACAAGGGTGCCCCTTTTTGGAGTATGCTTATTGGGCTACCAAACACTTGTTGCCCGGAAGATGGGCGTTTTGACTTGGAAGGCGTTTACAAATTCCATGAGCCCGAATTAACCCTGCGATATCCACAGTCTCATGAAAAGTTTCATTTTTCATAGGGCCACCAAATCCCCCCCCCTCATTTGAGATTTGATTAGGCTTGTCCTGTCTGAGCCTTATCGTTTAGGGTTCAGGGTTTAGGGTTTAGGGAGCCCATATTTTTCAACTCCTGCGGCGAAGGCCACGTCCGATGCCTCTTGCCCACGCGGAGGGACGGTGGCAGGCCACCGCTTTGGGAGAACACTTGGGGGTTCACATAGGGGTCGGAAGACCTACTAATTAATAGTATTCCCTTATGGCCCCTTTGCAATGTTACCCAAAAGTATCCCCCCAAAAACCCAATTGGGGGTTCATAGGTACTTCTTAAGTAGGGTTTAGGGGTGTAGGGGGTTAGGGTTCAGCGGTAAGGGATTTGCAGGGTTTATGCCGTAAGAATAAATTTTTCCGCGGTAATGCAAAATCACCCCTTGAACTCCCTCATATTCGCCTTTTAGAGTTTAAGGGGTATTCTTAGATTGAAGGTTTGTTTGTGGGGTTTGGGGGTTTATAGGGTTATTGGGTTTATGGGGTCTGAAGGGTTTATTTATCGGGTTTATAGGGTTTGCAAGGTTTAAAGGGTTTAGAGGGTTCATCGGGTTTGCAGGGGTTTAGGTTTGAGGGGCATGGGAGCCACTTTGGCTAGTGTGGGTATTTGGCGCAGTTAACCACATTTTGTTATACACTAAGCTTAGGGGGATGTGCTGAAAGGAAAGGGTCTTCTCTACGCGCAGGGATTGCCTTTGCAGTAAATACCATCCCCCGCTTATGGATGTAGCGGGGGTCTCACTCCGTGTTCTTTCATGTTGTCTTTGCGCAGGAGGGAAGGGGAGTTTTTTCCGAATCGTCCACACATGTAGATCTTTCATGTTCTGGTGGTCCTGATGTTTGGCACACCGTTGCTTTCTTGTATGCAGGCACGCGTGCGACACGTTGGTGGTGTAGCGGTCTACTCAGACACAGAACCCAGCTCTGAAGCCCCTACACTCTTGGAATTTTCAGAGCTTTCAGTCTCTCCCAGTTTCGGTTTAGGGGGATCTTGCTTGGGAATCTGTTTTATTCTGAGGGTTTAGGGTTTAGGGCTTAGGGTTTAGGGTTTAGGGCTTAGGGTCCTCAACCCTCCGAGTTTCTTCAGGAGTCGCGAAGTTGTGGCTTCAAATTCCTTGCCACGCTAAACCCGAAACCCTAAAGGTTTAGTTAGGGTTTAGGGTTCAGGGTTTAGGGTTTAGGGTAACCCCAAATTCAGGCCATGGGACGTGACGTATGTGGACTTGCCTGGGGAACTCGTCTGCGGCGCTGACTTCGAAATTGACGGATTCTCCGCCCCTTTGGCCGCCTTGGGGAGTTTATATGGGTTTAGGGTCTATAGGGTTTGGGGTTTAGGGTGTAGTGATTTAGGGCTTTAGAATCTTAATTAGGGTTTCTGCGCACTCCCACCACCTACCCACGCCCCACCCCCGCCATTGAATTCTATTCAGTTCGGAGCTATTTTGTTTTGGTTGGGCCTCACCTACTCGCGGGAGAAAGATACCAGAGAGGGCTTAGGGTTCAGGGTAAATGGTCGATTGAGGATGTTGCAACCACCTTGAACCCTCTGATCCTTCTCAACCTCAGAGCCAACATGACTTCAGTCATAAGTCCTTATAGCTGGGTTGCTGTTAAGGAACCCAGAAACACGCTTGCATGATCAGGGCCTAGGGTTTAGGGCTCGCTTGCTGGGCGACATGTCCAAGTTCGGCACTCCCCACCATCCCCCTCTAAAACCCTGAGTGGTTAGGGTTTAGGGTTTTAGGGTTTAGGGTTTAGGTAAGCCTCGTTCCACTTCAAGCCTGGGTAAGTGGGCCAAATCGAGCTACCCGCCAGAATCAATACCCTCCCCCCCCCCCCCCCCCCCCCAAGAGTCAGACCTACAAATCGTACTCGCTTATGGTCCCTATATACTTGTACTAGAATCACCCCCCAACACCCTACTCGAATTATTAAGCCCCCTATACCTCCCCCATTGGGAAGCGCCCTGTTGGCAACTTAGGAATGGTTACTGACAGTATTCCTTATGGCCCCTATATAATTCTACTACAAGACCTCGTCTACTTATCAAGGCCCTAAACCCTAAACCCTAAATCATGCAGCAGAAACCCTAAACCCTAAACCCTAAACCCCAAACCCCAAACCCCAAACCCCAAACCCTAAACCCTAAACCCTAAACCCTAAACCCTAAACCCTAAACCCTAAACCCTAAACCTCCCCCATTGGGAAGCCCCCTCTTGGCAACTTAGGATTCCTTCTGCATTGGCGCCTCTCACTTCCTCCCGGACAAGCGCCAGCGGCCTGGTCTGAGCAGGGAAGTTCCGTCATCAGCCCTAAACCCTAAACCCTAAACCCTAAACCCTAAACCCCAAACCCTAAACCCAAAACCCTAAACCCTAAACCCTAGACCCTAGACCCTGGGAAGGGGGGAGTTGTCGTTTTTTTCTGATCACTAAGTCGACGTTTTAAGTTGCATGGTCAGAAAGAGGCGGTTCCCAGCCTTATAGCTGAGTCTGGGACAGCTTCCTGTACAACCCTCTTTGCCCTCTTCTGAATGAGGCCGTCAGGGATATCCATAAACCCTGCAGCATTGAAAGTGGTAAGCGATCCCTGTACCAGGGCTCTTTTGGTCCTCTATAGGCTTTAGGGTTTAGGGTTATGTGGAGTTCTTAGGGCCTGTGGCTGGGACTTCTGGGCCTCTGAAAAAAAATGGTGGGGTCTCTCTAAAACGCATGGCGCCGTTGTCACATTACGATATCCCTCTTGGGGGGGGTGACCATCATAATTCAGGGCCTTAGAGGTCATAGGGGTACCCCACAAACCGACCTTAACTCTGAGAGCTGCCCACCTGAATCCTACGTCGGGTTTCGGGGTTGCGAGTATCTCAGGATCATGGTGCTCGACGCTGGGGGCGAACTCTGGACCATGCAGCTGTGACCGCCGCAAGAAAAATTCTGCCGAAGAAAGCGGCCGATGCATTAGTTGTTTTTTCTGTTTGGCAGCGGCTGAGTTTTCAAGCAGCCGGGTCACTACCAAAAGCTTCCCATTATGGTACCTATATACGTGTGTATATAGATGTATCTATGTATATGCACACGCATTATTATATGTGTATATACATATATAGATATATGTATGTTTATATACACACACCATGCCACCTAAACCCCTAAAGCCTAAACCCTATGGGCCCTATAAACCCTACACCATGCTACCTAAACAGGTTCCTAAGCCCTAAACTCCTATATGGTACGCAAGGGGGGTATGTAACCCCAGGTTCCCGATTCTCCCCACTACTCCCTGAGCCTCTCTAAGCTTCCCTAAAGTACGCTAATTGGAGGTTCATGGGTACTTAGAACCCCAAGTATATGTACTTATAACCTACTTAGAGGACGTAGGGGATCTGCGATGATGGCTGCACTTTTATCCACGTGTCGAGTTTATGCAGGTAGCAATGAGGATCAATGCACGCAATGGAAACTTGTGGCATGCCTTCTTCCATGGCCCAGACAAGGACAGCCAAAGTCTCTTGTAGAAGTATGAGGGCCGAGCTGGTACTTGTAGCCCGATGACGATCAGCGTGAGTATGAGTTTTCACCGGACGTGCATGGATGACTTCCACCCTATACAGATTCTTGAACAGATGAACAATTGACAAGTAAAAGTGTTGTTTCCATGCCTCATTAGCGCTGAGCTTTCAGATTCACCATTTTGTCGGCCGCTTCCTATGGTCTGGTCAGGTGCCATGTGGACGAAGCTTGCCGCATGCACCCTCCTGGCTCAGCTCAGCCTCTCTTGCGCGGAGAGTGCAACTTCGTGCGCGGCGTCGCCGGGCGATGAGGCTGCCTCTGTGGCGGAGCACCTCCTCGACGTGACGTCCGCCCTGCAACTTGGTCACATGGCAGGCTCGCAGAAGGTCGTCACCGACACCGAGGGTGCGGGTCGCCGCGGCCTCGGGCGATGGTGGCGGCGCCGTGCGATGGGCGGCAGCCGTGGGCGCCGTGGCATGCGCCGCAGGGTGGCGTATCGGGGTGCGTCGTATTCGTATGGCCGACGGCCCCAGCAGTGCCCGTTCCTGCCAAAGCACCAGCCGCTGAAGGACCCGGTGATCGTCAGGGCGTCCGACGGCCCGATCACCTTGGAGCTGACGACCATCCAGGTCTGCGATCCCACCGCCGAGGTCACGACCTGGTACACGCGTGCCTATGCGCTTCCCGGGCAAGCAGCCACGATCCCGGGGCCCACGATCTTGGTGAAGCCCGGCGACAACCTGACCATCACCATCATAAACAAGCTGGCATACCCGAACCCTGACTGCAACCAGACGAGGCCGGCTCAGGAGACGGGCAGCCACGCCTACATCGACCCCTCTGTGAACCCTCATCAGATCACCGGCTTCTGCTACGTCAACGCGACGAACCTTCACGTGCACGGAATGCATGTTAGCCCGCAGCCAGGCGGCGACAACGTATTCGAGCACTGGCCGCCTGGCACAACGAACTCGCTCTCCGTGATGGTGCCACCCAACCACGCCACGGGCGCCTACTGGTACCACCCGCACCGGCACCACTCCACGGCACCTTGAGAACCAAATGAACACTAAAAGGGTTTAGGGTTCACATACCCCAATAAGGATTATAGTAGTATAGGGTTTATGGCCCCAATTTTAGGGTTCATTTGGTTCCCAAGGCAGGTCAGGCTGGCGGTGGACAGCACGGTGCCGTCATCATCGAGGACCCGCCGGGCCTTCTGCCTAAGGAGATCGAGGCGCTGCCGACGAGGGTCGTGGTCTTAACCCTCGTGGACGTGCAGAACAAGAGCAGCATCACAGGGTCGAGCTCTCCGATAATCGAGCAGCAGAGCCTGGGCGACCTGTGGCAAGATCCGGAGGGCGACTACGTGAACCGCTTCTTGACCACATACATGCTGACCAACGGCCTGTGGAAGCCGAGCTGGTTCGCGGAGGACCATGAGTGGACGCGCTTCGACTTTGTCTACGCCGCCGTCGAGTACAACGTCGTCATCAAGGCGCTCCCGACCAACAAGGTCAGTGCCATGAACCTTTTTGGGGTACTTGGAAATAGTTGTCAATGTTTGGGCACTAGAATTCCTAAGAAAAAGCTAAAACTAAATTTGAATAAATATGTTGGGGTACTACTTAATTCCTAAGAAACATAGCTAAAACCACTTTGCTATAGGGTTCCAAATTCAGTACAGGAACGGCTTCTCGTGCGAGTTCCAGCTCCTGGCTAAGGATGGCGCCTACCTGAACTACGCGCCGCGCAAGGTGCCCAGTACCTTGGAAACGAGATGGACCCCAAAAGGGTTTATGGTCCATATACCTTAATATAGGGATTAAAGGTCCATTTATACCTTAATAGGGATTTTAGGTCCACATACCTTAATAGGGATTATAGAGGTATGTGGGGTGTGTGTGACCCTACTTTTATCGGGTTTATTTCGTCCCCAAGGTATCTACATGGCCTCCGGGAACCGCGCGTCCTTCGCCATGCGCTGCGGCTGCAAGAAGAGCTTCGTGGGTCGCTGCACTGGCAGCCTCGTTTCGCATCGGGAGTTGTACTCGCCGGGTGGAGGTGCGGCGACCATGGAGGAATTCGAGGACGGCCCGCCCTCGACGAGCAGGGCCGGCCCCTTCGCGGACGTCGGGCAGAAGACGATCAACCAGGAGTTCATGTTCATCATCGTGAAGCAGCGCCCGTACTCGTTCAAGCCGAAGTGTGACGACCTCCCCTACTTCGCGGTGGAGAGGCCCTGCTACCTCGTGAACCTCACCGGCGTCGACGTGGCGCCGCAGAACAACGGCACGCTCAACCTGCCTGCACCGCAAGGCCCCACGAAGCCGCAGTGGCAGATCATCTACTGGTCCAACGTCACCACCCCCTCCAACTACTCCGGCGAACCCTTCGAGGATGACTCGCCTCCGCTGCAGAACTGGACGCTCGGTGAGGTGCACGAGCTGTGGTTCCGTCACAGCTACAACAGGTCCCTCCCCGCCGCCTACCAGATCGCCGGCATCAAGCAGCATCCGATCCACCTCCACGTGACTTTGTGGCATAGTTGGGTAACCTTTCACATTTAATTAAGGGTACTCAAACCCAGCAAGGAATACAACCATTTATATTTTTTAGATTATCCCATGAACTAGGTGACCCAGTACCAGCTCGTGGCCCTGCAGTGCCACAACGGCACATGGATCACTCACGGAAGCTGCGAGCCGGACGTGTACTTCCAAGTGGGCGATTGGCACGACACACTGATGTTCGGGGGCGGGCAGGCCAGGGTTCCTGGCTAGGCCCTTGGGAATATGTTCTGTTTTTATTTTTGCCCCTTCTTTTTTTAGGGGTGAAGAGGATCCTTTTTTGAGGAGTATTTTCAGAGGGTTTAAGTTTTGATATATTTTCCCTTATTGGGGTTATGAGGATCCCATTCAGGCGTAATTTTTTTCAGAGACCCATTTTCAGGGTCATCCTAGGTGCGCTTCCAGCTCAGCACCTTCAACGGCCCCTACATCCTCCACTGCCACATCCTCTCCCACGAGGACCCTACATCCCTAAACCCTAAACCCTGAAACCCTAAACCCTGAAACCTGAAACCCTAAACCCTAAACCCTAAACCCTAAACCCTAAACCCTAAACCCTAAACCCTAAACCCTAAACCCTAAACCCTAAACCCTAAACCCTAAACCCTAAACCTAACCCAATTTTTTTTCATCAAGGTTCTAAGGGGAGTAGAGGACCAGGGCATGATGACGTGGTTCAACGTCTCGGGCCCGGAGGGCACTGTCTCTTGGCAGCCCAGTCGTACCCTTTACCCTTTTTGGTTTTGGGTTCTGGGTTTAGGGTTTAGGGTTTAGGGTTTAGGGTTTAGGGTTTAGGGTTCCCTTGTAAAAATGACCAACCCCCAAAAGGGTGCCCTTATCATTAGGTTTCTGGGCTGCCAAGGTCTGGCCCGGGGCAGAAGAGGTGCAGAGGTGCTACAGGGGCTACTTCGGGCAGTCCTGACAATTCATGTTTGAATGAATGTCCTAACTAACCCTAAGGGTCCATGTACCGAAATAGGGAATACTTGGGCCTAAAAGTAGCTCCTATTTAGGGACTTTAGGGCCCGAGTACACGATGATGGGGTACATGGACCCTTAGGGTAACCCTATGCTTCCAGGAACCTCGTACAATGCATAGGGCCCCAAGAGGACCCCTCATTTTTTCGGTCTCTGGAAGGATATAGGGTAACCGTTCCGACCACGTTTCAAAGAAGCGCAGGTTTTGTGCGTGAAGCTTTTCAAAGCAGCAAGGCCTTACTCTGCCACACGTGCAGCACAGTTGTATGCTTGGAGGTTCAGGGTACTTTTAACCCCAATTATAGCTATGCTCATAAGCCCCCTATAAGTCCTCTAAGTAGTATAAGTAGACGTATAAATAGGGTTATAGCCCTAAACCCTAAACCCTAAACCCTAAACCCTAAAACCCTAAAACCCTAAAACCCTAAAAACTAAACCCTACTTAAACATAGGGTTATGGGCACCCATGAACCTCCGAGTAGGGGAGACCTGCTCATGTTCATCCTGATGCTGCGGCGGCCTCCTTGCCAGCCTTACTTCTTGCCAGCCTTACCTGCTCAAAAGTTGCCGTGCTTTCTTCGCATGCGAGGGATAGCAATGCTCAACAATGAGGGGGGTTTGGGGTTTGGGGTTAGGGTTTAGGGTTTAGGGTTTAGGGTTTAGGGTTTAGGGTTTAGGGGGTTTAGGGCCACGCAGTGAAGATGTTTCCATATAGGGTTGAGGGTTTAGGGGGTTTAGGGCCACGCAGTGAAGATATTTCCATATTCTACTCGCGACTTTGCTACATGACAACTTGCCTCCCGGAAGGGACCAGGCCAAGCCCCCCCCCAATGCAGGCGAGCTCTTGACTAGTTGGCCGCAAAGGCAAGAGTGTCATTGACATGCATGAACGTTTGTTCAGGACTCTGTGTAGTAGAATGGCAATGTGATTGTCAGACACGAAAAACAGTGAAGTGATGATGATGATGATGATGGGAGGACAGCTCCACGAATCTCCTGGCTGCGCCACCCGAGCTCCCGAACCGAACCCCCTGACATTGTCAGGGCGCAGCCGCGAAGCACTGCGCCCATGTTCCCGAAGAGTCCGGCGCCCCAGAGCTCGGATTGACAGCTTCACATGTCCTTCCATCTTAGAATGGCAGCCAGTGTGTCTTCTTCTGATTGCTTAAGAACCCAGAAAAAATCAGAATGTTCTTCCTTATTAAGGTTAATATAGGGAGTGTTTTTTTATGTTCATTTATTCTTTTCGGGTTCTTAAGCAAACTGTAGTCTAGAGCCCTAAAGAAGTTGGGTGTGAGCAGGCGAGAGTCCTAGAGCTGTCATGAGAGGGCCATCGAAGCCCTCAACTGTGTCAGTGCCCCGTTTTCAGTGAGCAGATCTTTGCAGAGCCAAGCCATCGCTTGCCTTCCCACGTGAACCCTAAAACATGGATTCTATCATACAAACCCTACACTAAAAAGTTATACTCCCTATGAAGGTCATGTGAAACCCTTTTGGGCTTCATTGGGTCCCCAAGGTCACGAAGCATCTCCAAGTCAAGCGTCAAAAGCAAAACCACACAGTCCTTGTCACCGCAGATAGGGACAGCCAATTCCTAGGGGTTTAGGGTTTGGGGGTTTAGGGGTTTATAGGGTTTAGGCGTTTGGTTGGGCTAGGGGTGGATTATAGGGTTTGACAGCAAAGACGGAACAACAAGCAGCTGAGGCATTCAACGACGACTGGGGGCCTTGTGATGCCGTCCAGCCATAAGTGTTCCTGTGGGTTGCACCCTGATCCCAAGAGCCTAAGTAAGAGCCCAAAACCATATTGTCCTAAGAATTGTCTAAGGGGTTTTATACACTCAGAACCTACCAAAAAAGTAGGTTTAGGGTTCTTAGGGTAGAGCCTTTAAGCCCCAAACCTGTCCAACTAGGGGAGGCGCGACTAGCGAGTTTGAGGGGCTTGGGCGCTTGACAGAGTCCTCGATCCGCAGCATGGTGTGTGGCTGTACAGCGCTTCCGAAAGGCTCGAAGGACTCGTTGTTTTTTGGGTTTTGGGGCCAAAAGGCCTTCTTATTACCTAGTAGTAGAATAGGTAACTTTTCACCTTTTTGGGGTAATAGAATCCCCTTACAATCCTAAAGGTTAACCTTTCGTTCCCCCAGGTTACTGCACAACTAAGATTACATTTGTTTTGGGAGCCTAAGGGCTCGCTTCAGTGAGGGAAGAGATTTCGTAGCGGCGGCGTAGAGCACTCTTTGCAGAACCGCCCGAATGGGCGAGACACGCAGGGAGCCGTGCGCATAGCTCCAGGGCCACTTCTGTAACTTACGGGTCACCTTCGGGGTTACTACAATATAAGGTGGCCCCTCATATCTATAGGGGACCCCAAAAAGGGTAACCCTAAACCCCAAACCCTAAACCCTAAACCCTAAACCCTAAACCCTAAACCCTAATTCAGAGAACTAAGAGCAACTCGCGCCTCTTGCCGAAGAGAAGCGGGCCAAAAAGGCCCGGGCCGAAGCTCAGGGGCTCGTTGCATGGAGGGCTTACCGGTTTAGGGTTTAGGGTTTGGGGTTTAGGGTTTAGGGTTTAGGGTTTAGGGAGGTTCATTTGGGTGCTTACAAGTGGGGCCTAGGGCTTAGGGTTCAGGGCTTAGGGCTTGGGGCTTGGGGCTTAGCGCTTGGGGTTTAGGGTTTAGGGTTTATGTTCATTTGGGTACTTACAAGTGGGGGCTTAGGCTTTGTTTAGGTTTAGGGCATATATGCCTTAGGGTTTAGGGCTTACGGTTTAGGGTTGTTTAGGTTCCGTACGGCCTAGGGTTAGGGTTTAGGGTTAAGTTCATCTGGGTACTTAAAAGTAGGGCTGTAAGTACCTAAAATAAAGTTATGACCATAGTTACCCTACTTATAACCCAACTTCTACGTACCCCAAAATGAACCCTCCCAGAGCCCTCAGCCCTCCAAACCCTATAAACACAAGCGCAAGGCTTGGTCAGGATCCGCGCCCTAAACCCTAAATCCTAAACCCTATAAACCCTAAACCCTAAACCCGAAACCGCCCACATCCAGGGATGTTCAGGTGTTTGTCTGGGCCTTGACCAACATGCGCGGCATGCTGGAGTTCAAAGAGAAGAGATACCCTTAGGGTCAACACATGCCAAAGACCTTATGTAAGAAGGCCAAAATAAGAGGCCGTAGAGCCGTGGGGATAGAGATAGAGATAGAGAGAGAGAGAGAGAGAGGCAGAGACAGAGGCAGAGAGAGAGAGGGAGACAGAACAGGCAGCAGGAGTGTGCCGGGAGCTTGGAGCCAGGCCCCCCTCAGAAGTAGGGGCCAAGAACAGTGCTATGGACAGAGATACAGCGAGAGATCGAGGCGGAGACGGAGACAGAGTTAGAGACAGAGAGAAAGAGAGAGAGAGAGAGAGACAGAGATATAGAGAGAGAGAGAGACGGAGACGGAGACAGAGTCAGTTACAGAGAGAGAGAGAGAGAGAAAAGAAAAAAAGGGAAACAAAAACAAAAACAGAGGACCAGCCGCTGCACCCTACCCCCAAACCTAGACAGGCACCAACAGCCCCTCAACCCTAGCTGACCCTAAACCCCTAGAAACCCTTTAAAACCCAAACCTATTCCTAAACCCTGAACCGCCCAAATAAGCTCAAGGTGCTCAGACCCTCGGCCAGCTCCGCTCCCCAGGGCGTAGGCCAGACTACTCGGCTTAGGATTGTCAAGTTGAGGGTTTAGGGTTTAGGGTTTAGGGTTTAGGGTTTAGGGTTTAGGGTTTAGGGTTTAGTGTTCAGGGTTTAGGGCTTATAGGGCTTATAGGGCTCAGGGCTTAGGGTTTTGGGTTTTGGGTTTTGGGCCCAAACCCCTAAACCCTGGGTTTTGTTTTGGAGCTGGTTCGGTTTGGGAGTAGCCAAGGTTAGGTCATGGGGTTTAGCGTTTGGGTTCGGGATATGGGGTTTAGGGTCGGAACATATGGGCTGTAGAGTTTACCTTCCACGCCACATGGGTTCAGGGTTCAGGGTCCAGGGTCCAGGATTCGTTCAGGTTCGGGTCGAGTGTCACACGTCTATGGAGTTTGGGGGGGTTCCCAGATCTTCCACAACCCCTTAATTAAGGAATATACCGCTAATTCAGAATGATGACCCCTAGTACGAATTAGGGTGCACTCCTTAATTAAGGGGCTCTGGAAGATAGTTGTTTCCAACATGAATCCTGAGCTCTAGACCATGTCTGCAGCCCAAAGCAGCTCGAAAAGTTCGGCAGGTGGGCCCAACGCCCGAGTACCGGCAGCCGCCGCGGGCACACAGGAGAAGAAGGGTTTAGGGAACCCCCAACCCCCCTAAACCCCACTAAACCCCCCCCAAACCCCCCGAAACACCCTAAACCCCCTAAACACCGTAAACATCCTAAACCCCCTAAACACCGTAAACACCCCAAACACCCTAAACACCCTAAACCCTACGGACGCAGCCAGCTTCAGGTGGGAGAGCCCCCTGGAGACGGCGGGCTCAAGATTCTCGAGGTTTAGAGTTTACTTGGAGGTTCATGGTGCTTACTAACCAAGTACAACTGGACGTATGACGTATAACTGTACTCATAAAAAAAAATATATATATATATATATATATATATATAAGTGGGTTATAAGCACACTTCTAATTGGTTAAGAAGTACCATGAACCTCCAAGTAGGGGCTGGGGGGGCTTAGATCCGTAAGCAAGGGGGACAGCCATCCTTTTCCCTTAAGACCAAAAATTCGAGCACAACATATTGAGCCCTGAACCCGAAACAAACATAGGCCTGAAACCATGCGATTCGGTTCAGGGTTTAGGGTCTAGATGGGTTTAGGGCTTGGGGTTAGGGTTTACGGTTTACGGTTTAGGGTTTAATTATAACTTTTGGGTTTAGGGTTTGGCGTCCGCCTCTTGAGGAACCTTCACGTCGAGGGCGGCCCTC